TTTGGATGTCTGCAATGCCCTCAATTGCTGCCAGTTTCTGAAATTCAGAAACTTTCAGAAGATTGTCATCAAGCAGAGACTCCGTCCTGTGCAAAATGCTCAGGGCTATATAAGTGAAGCCTCAAACCATAAAGTAACAATTGGCTGAAAGCCTATTATGTTAGTAAAGAAGACTGTAGTTTATTAGTTTGGGGACTGCTGGGCGAGCTGTGTCACCTCTTTGTTCCTGATCCAGACCTTGTCTGACCTCTCTGCGTACATCTGATTTCTCCAAAACTTAAACCATCCATTAAAACAGGATGCAGGATCCTGGGTCCTGTGGTATTTGGAAGAATTAGTTGTGGGATTTTAGGGAACTGTTTAGATGGTGTTGATGAAACCCCGTGAATTTTTATATAAATTCCCTGCAATGCTTTGCAGTTGGTGCTAGCATGGTGGTAGCTATTTCCTCTCCAGCTAAATACACATATATTATTGTCAATTAAAGATACTATTTTGGGCCACAGACACAGCTTGCTGAAAGCTAGGGAAATGTGGAGAATTAAATGTAACCATTGGAATATATCCCAACATTTTCTATATTACTTCTGCTTGACAGGGGGAGTGTGTCCCTGTTGGTTCTCCTGGATATCTCAGCGGCTTTCGATACCATTGACCATGGTATCCTTCTGGGGTGGCTCTCTGGAATGGGTCTTGGGGGCATTTGCTCTGTAGTGGCTCCGCTCCTTCCTGGAGGGTCGCTCCCAGTTGGTGAAGCTGGGGGATACCTGCTCAGACCCATGGCCTTTGACCTGTGGGGTCCCGCAAGGTTCCATTCTATCCCCCATGCTTTTCAATATCTACATGAAACCACTGGGTGAGGTTATCCAAAGTTTTGGAGTTGGGTGCCATCTGTACGCAGATGACACCCAACTCTACTACTCATTTCCAGCGAATTCCAAGGAAGCCTCCCAGACCCTGAACCAATGTCTGATGGCTGTGATGGACTGGATGAGGACTAACAGGTTGAGGCTTAATCCAGACAAGGCAGAGGTCCTGGTCAGTCGTGGGACCGACTGGGGTATTGGGTGGCAACCTGGTTTTGTACATACATCTTGAACCTCTTGCACCTTGGTCCAATCCAGTGTGTCCTCCCCTTCCTCATCACTCCCAGACTCATCACTCCCAGAGAAACCCATGAAAGACTCTTTGTCTGTGGGAGCAGTAAGTATATCCCGGATCTTCTTCCTCTGTCGCTCCTCATCCGATTCCTGCTCCCGAGTAACCATCTTAGTTCCCCTGTTAACATCCATTGCATCTCTTCCTCCTCCTCACTCATTGACCCTTCGCTATCAGAAAACCCTTCACAGGAATCTTCGTCGGTTGGTAACATAAGTATCTCCCAGATCCTTTTCCTCTGTTGCTCCTCATCTAACTCTTGAGCACTCATTTTTCCCCTTCTGACACCCATACTACAAGTTGCAGTATTGCTAACAGGCTGTACTACAACAGTAGATTCATATAATCCAATTCCAAGGAGATAATGTGGATTATCTGCTTTCATAATCTGGATGTATGACAGAGTAGAAGGGAACTCGATCCATCAGAACTCTTGAGCAACTGGCAAAAAATACATAGAAGCAATACATTGCATACCTCATTCACGATGAAGTTTCAATCTATATAAATAAAATGTAATGTTCGTTTGTGGGATTAACATAACTCAAAAACCACTGGATGAATTGTCACCAAATTTGGCCACAAGACACCTACTAACCTACTGGAGTTTTTCCAGAGACTCTGAAAGAGGCCATGGTATCTCAACTGCTGAAGAAACCGGATCTAGATCACTCGGTTCCCGAGTCCAAAAGTGGCAGGCTCAAACCCAGAACCTCAACCAATGGCTGATACCAAATGAGAAACTCCCCCCGGGCACACAGAAAATTGGGCGACTTGGAAGGCGCTGAACAGACTGTGCTCTGGCACCACGAGATGCAAAGCCAACTTTCAGAAATGGGGCTACAAAGTGGAATCCTCGACATACAAGTGTGGAGAGGAGCAAACCACTGACCACCTGCTGCAATGCAACCAGAGCCCTGCCACATGCACAATGGAGGACCTTCTTGCAGCAACACCAGAAGCACTCCAAGTGGCCAGATACTGGTCAAAGTACATTTAATCAACTACCAAACTCATACATTTTGTATTTTCTCTGTTTGTTTGCTTTGTTCTGTTAGAAATGTAATATAATTGACTGGCTGCCCTGACACGAGAAATAAAATAAAAACCACCCGGTTTCGAATCTCCCGTTTCTGGGAAAGGTGATCGAGAGGGCGGTAGTGGAACAACTGCAGCAGTTCCGACATGACACAGCCAGATTAGACCCCTTCCTGTCTGGCTTCCGTAAGGGGCATGGGACGGAGACTGTGTTGGTCTCCATTACAGATCAGCTCCGCTGCCAGATGGATCAAGGAGGATCAGCACTGCTTGTGTTATTGGACCTCATGGCAGCATTTGATACGGTTGATTACGACCTTTTGATTCACCACCTAGCCATGGCTGGAATTAGGGGGATGGCCCTTAAATGGCTGTCCTCTTTCCTTCAAAAGCGGGGTCAACGTGTAGAGAGGGAAGGGTTGGTCTCTAAGAGGGCCCCTCTTGAATGCGGGGTCCCACAGGGGGCTATCCTTTCCCCCCTGTTGTTTAACATCTATATGCAACCACTTGCCCAGCTGGTGCGATGCTTTGGGCTTGAGTGCTATCAGTATGCTGACGACACTCAACTCATTCTGAGGATGGAAGGCCGACCAGACTCCATATCCAATAATTTCCATCAGTGCTTTGGGGCTGTTACTGGATGGTTGCATGCCAGCAGGTTGAGGGTGAATCCAGCGAAGATAGAGATCCTTTGGTTGGATTGCCCGGACGGAGAGGTTATCTGGTTGCCTATCCTGGATGGCGTTACATTATGTCCGTCATATTTGGTAAAGAGTCTGGGAGTCCTTTTAGACCCTCTGCTGACAATGGAGGCCCAGGCCTCCGCCGCGAGCAGTCACATTTTTCCATCTGCATCAGGCTAGGCGTCTGGCTCCCTATCTGTCCAGGGATGACCTGGCCATGGTGATCCAGGCTACGGTCATTTCAAGGTTGGACTACTGTAACGCCCTTTACATAGGCCTGCCTTTATCAGTGATCCAGAAACTTAAACTAGTTCAAAATGCTGCTGCCCGGCTTCTCACAGGGGTTCCAATGAGGTTTCATATCACTCCAATCTTACAGCAACTGCACTGGTTGCCGATTGAGCACCGGATTATCTTCAAAGTGCTGATTCTTACCTTTAAGGCCTTATATGGCCTGGGGCCGGAGTACCTGAGGGACTGCCTCACCCTCTACCAACCCCCGAGATCACTCCATTCAGATGATCAGAATTTCCTTGAAGTTCCCAATTTTAGGACCTTTTACCTGATGTCTACTAGGCGTAGAGCATTCACGGTGGTGGCTCCTTACCTGGGGAATGCCTCGCCAGTGGAAACACGAGCTCTCCGAGATTTACTATCTTTTCGTAGAGCTTGTAAAACTTATTTATTTAGGCTGTCATTTGAATCTGGTTGACTGAAATTTTTCTTTGTTTTTAAATGTGTATGTTGTAAACCGCTCTGAGCCTTCGGGGAGTGGCAGTATTTAAATTCGATAAATAAATAAATAAATAAATAACCCAAGGAGTGACCATCACTCAAAAAAATTGATTACGTCATTTGGGAGTTGTAGTTGCTGGGACTCAAACTACAAGAGAGGGGATTCCATCTGAACATGAGGAAGAACTTCCTGACTGTGAGAGCCGTTCAGCATTGGAACTCTCTGCCCTGGAGTGTGGTGGAGGCTCCTTCTTTGGAAGCTTTTAAACAGAGGCTGGATGGCCATCTGTCAGGGGTGATTTGAATGCAATATTCCTGCTTCTTGGCAGGGGGTTGGACTGGATGGCCCATGAGGTCTCTTCCAACTCTTTGATTCTATGATTCTATGATTTATAGTTAACCTACAATCAAAGACCATTCTGAATGCCACCAACAATGGAATTTAACCATCCATGGCACGCAGGACTCCCATGACCAACAGAAAACACTAGAAGAGTTTGGTGGGCATTGACCTTGAGTTTGGAAGTTGTAGTTCACCTACATCGAGAGAGCACTTTGGACTCAAACAATGATGGATCTGGACCAAACTTGGCACAAATATTCCATATGCCCAAATATGAACGCAGATGGAGTTTGGGGGGAAATAGTCCTTGATATTAGGGAGTTGTAGTTACTGGGATTTATAGTTCACCTGCAATCAAAGAGCATTTTGAACCCCACCAATGACAGACTTGGGGCAAACTTCCCACACAGAACCCGCATGACCAACAGAAAATATTTAAGGCCATCCAGTCCAACTCCCTTCCCCAGGGCAAAAAAACATAATCAAAGCCGTCTTGATAAAGAACCATCCAGCCATAGATATAGATAGATATATGTAATTCACACACAGAGAGAAACATAGTATCATAGATTTGAAAGGGACCCCTAAAGAAGGACAATTATATGTTGCATGTATGCAAACTAGACAATCTCCACATCAACACTGACAAAGAAACAACAAGAAATACTGTTTACCTACAAGCATAAAGGAATTAAATATATTAGAAATCAACACTTATTCATTACTTTATTTTCCAGATCACCAGATTGGGCCACAGCAACGCCTGGCAGGGGACATCTAGTAATAATAATAATAATAATAATAATAATAATAATAATAATAATAATAATAATAGAAGTTCATCTTTGTCTGTGTGCAAAGTGAGGCACTCACTAAAAGAGCAGCTGAATGTCCCAAAGGCTTTTTTGACGAGTTTCCAATTTTTGTCCGCCAGGCAAAATATCCCCTATTCCCCTCGAACTTCCCTTTAAGTATACAGTCAGGTCGACAAAGCGAGGGAGGCGTGGCCCCGCCTCTTTTCCGTAAGCCACGCCCAGGACGTTTCCCCGGTAACGGAGAGCCGTTTCCCCTGGCAACGGAGAGACGCTTCCTCGCGGCGCCATGGCGGCCAAGGAGAAGGCCAAGGAGAGGGAGAAAGAGAAAGAGAGGGAGAAGGAGAAGGAAAGTGTCCCAGTGGCCGTGCCATCTCTTCAGGTAGGGCAACCTGCACTCCAGAGCCCCTTCTTCTCTCATGCCCCCCCTTTCCCATTCCGAAATACTCCCACATTCTCCACAGGAGTGACCGAGGGCCCTTCCACACAGCCATATAACCCTGAATATCATATCAAGGCAGATGATCCACAATCATAGAATCATAGAATCAAAGAGTTGGAAGACACCTCATGGGCCATCCAGTCCAACCCCCTGCCAAGAAGCAGGAATATTGCATTCAAATCACCCCTGACAGATGGCCATCCAGCCTCTGTTTAAAAGCTTCCAAAGAAGGAGCCTCCACCACACTCCGGGGCAGAGAGTTCCACTGCTGAACGGCTCTCACAGTCAGGAAGTTCTTCCTCATGTTCAGATGGAATCTCCTTTCTGTAGATTCGTGTACAGTTTGGGCCAGATCCATCATTGTTTGAGTACACGGTGATCTCTCGATGTAGGTGAACTACAATTCCAAAACCAAAGGACACTGCCCACCAAACCCTTCCAGTATTTTCTGTTGGTCATAGGAGAACTGTTTGCCAAGTTTGGTTCAATTCCATCATTGGTGATATTCAGAATGCTCTTTGATTGTAGGTGAACTATAAATTCCAGCAACTACAACTCCCACATGATAAAATAATTTTTTTGAGTGAAGGACATACATTGGGTTGTTAGGTGTCTTGTGTCCAAATTTGGTGTCAATACATCCAGTAGTTTTTGGTTTTTGAGTTCTGTTAATCCCACAAACGAACATTACATTTTTATTTATATAGATAATAAGGAAAGAAGAGAGGGGGACGGACGAAAGGAAAGAGGGAAAAGGAATTAGAGAAGGAAGGTAAGAAAGAAAGAAATAGAAAGAAGGGAGAAGGGAAGGGAAAGAAAAGGATAAAAGATTAAAAAAAGGAAAGGAAAGGAAAGGAAAGGAAAGGAAAGGAAAGGAAAGGAAGGAAGGAAGAGGAAGGAAGGAAGGAAGGAAGGAAGGAAGGAAGGAAGGAAGGAAAAGAAATGGAGGGAGAAGAGAGAGAGGAAAAAAGAAGGGAAAGAAGGAAAGGAAAGGAAAGGAAAGGAAAGGAAAGGAAAGGAGGAAAAAGGTATATGGAGAAGGGAGGAAAAAAAGAGAAAAAAGAGAGAAAGGAAGGGACAAAACGACAAAGGAAAGGATGGAAGAAGAAAAAAGGAAGTGAAAGAAACCCAGAAAAGGAAAGGAAGTAAGAAAATAGAGAAGGAGAAGGTTAAAGAGGAAAATGGAAAAGGAAATAAGGCCACAAAGAGAACCTGTCCACCGTTGCCAGAGCATTTCTATGGAATCATTTTGAGGTAGGGCTTCCACATTATCCTATCATCATCATCATCATCTTTATTTTTATACCCCTGCCACCATCTCCATAAAGGGACTCCTCTCTTGTAGTTTGAAGCCATTGTTTCGTGTCCTAGTCTCCAGGGAAGCAGAAAACAAGCTTGCTCCCTCCTCCTAATTTGGGCATATGGAGTATTCGTGTAGAGTTTAGTCCAGATCCATCATTGTTTGAGTCCACAGTGATCTCTGGATGTAGGTGAACTACAACTCCAAAACCAAAGGGCACTACCCACCAAACCCTTCCAGTATTTTCTGTTGGTCATGGGAGAACTGCGTGCCAAGTTTGGTTCAATTCCATCATTGGTGAGGTTCAGAATTCTCTTTGATTGTAGGTGAACTATAAATCCCAGCAACTACAACTAGTGAAAGGACCAAGGCAGAGACATCTCCAGCTCATCCCCTGTTTGGGTATCAGCCAGCACGTCAACGACTTAAATCTAGAAATAGTTTTCTAAGATCTACAGAGACACTCGCTGGAACAGCTCAGCAAGTGAGAGTCCAAAAGTGGCAGGCTCAAACCCAGAACCTCAACCAATGGCTGATACCAAATGAGAGACTCCCCCCTGGGCACACAAAAGACTGGGCGACTTGGAAGGCGCTGAACAGACTGCGCTCTGGCACCACGAGATGCAGAGCCAACCTCAAGAAATGGGGCCACAAAGTGGAATCCACGACATGCAAGTGGGGAGAGGAGCAAACCACTGACCACCTGCTGCAATGCAACCTGAGCCCTGCCACATGCACAATGGAGGACCTTCTTGCAGCAACACCAGAAGCACTCCAAGTGGCCAGATACTGGTCAAAGGACATTTAATCAACTACCAAACTCACAAATTTTGTATTTTGCCTGTTTGTTTGCTTTGTTCTGTTAGAAATGTAATATAATTGACTGGTTGCCCTGACACAACAAATAAATATCTGGATGTAGGTGAACTACAACTCCAAAAACAAAGGACACAGCCCACCATTTTAAAAAGAGGAAAGTAAATATTATTATTACTGTTATTAGTTTTTAAGAATTCTGTGTTCAATTCTATTTTAATGTTTCTATCCTATAGGTTTTCAATTTCTTTTAGTATGCTGAGCTGTTTTAAGTATAGTTTTAAAGAAAGGAAATCAGGACAGAAAAAGAAGAAGAGGAGGAGTAGGTTTTAATTAAATATGTTTTAATGAATTTTAACTGCGAATTTTTAAAATGCTGTTTACATTTAATTCTGTTTGAATGTTTGCATATTTGTATGTTTTAAATTGTTTGTTAATATATCCGTATAGGTTATTTATATTTTTACTGTTGGTTACTTTGTCTGTTATTAAGTTTAGAGTTAGATTGCTTTTATATTGTTTAATATGGTTTGTCTTGATGTAATTTAAATTGTTTTAAATTGCTTTTAAATTTTGTTAGATTTTAGCTCTTCTTGTAAGCCGCTCCGAGCCCCAGGGGAGTGGCGGCATATAAGTTCAAATAATAAATAAATAAATAATAAATAATTTGTTTGAATGGTTTTTGCCCCCTTTGGCATTGAATGTTTGCCATACATGTTAGAAACTGCCCTGAGTCCCCTCGGTCTAAAAATAAGGTTGTTGTTGTTGTTGTTGTTATTATTATTATTATTATTATTAATGACACAAAAGTACAGTATGTCACAGCAAATGAGATCTATATGCTGGATTTCGTATCACAAAATCACAAATCGAACACTTCCCAAGCAGCTAGGACTGTGTGATGTATTTTCGAATGATGCGCAGATCCAAGTAAGGTGGCCTTTTGCAGTTGACAGATCATGATTTTGTCGATGTTTATTGTTTCCAAATGCTGGCTGAGATCTTTTGGCACGGCACCCAGTGCACCAATGACCACTGGGACCACCTGTACTGGTTTATGCCAGAGCCTTTGCAGTTCAATTTTGAGGTCTTGATAGCAGCTGAGTTTTTCCTGTTGTTTTTCCTCAATGCGACTGTCACCTGGTATGGCGACATCAATAATCCAGACTTTTTTCTTTTCCACAATCGTGATGTCTGGTGTATTGTGTTCCTATTATTATTATTGTTGTTGTTGTTGTTGTTGTTGTTATTATTATTATATTTATACCTTGTTTTATCTCTCTCAAGGGAGACTCAAAGTGTCTTAACAGAAAAGCATTAATAATGATAATGATAATAATAATAAGTTCCATCTCATTGCAATAATCAAAGTCCATCAGTTGTCTTTCCCAAAGGCTTCCTCCCAGAGAAAGGTTTTTATTTCTTTTCTGAAGAGCAAAAGGAACAGAGTTCCAGAGCCGAGGGGCTGCCGTCGATAAGGCCCTCTCTCTTGTTTCCACCAGGTGTACCTTTTGATGCAGCACAAAATCCCACTGGTTTTTTTTAGCTGCTGCATCACACTGTTGGCTCACTGTCAATTTGTTGTCCACGAAGACTCCAAGATCTTTCTCACATGGACTGTTTTCTTTATGGCCTCATAAATTAGTTAATTATCCTCCCACACAAGGTGGTACCTTATTTTCCTACTTGACAGATGCAACTGTCTTTCGGGTTGCAAAGGTCGACAACAGGCTACACAATGGTTGGAAACCCACTCCAACCCGGGCTGGCTTCGAACTCATGACCTTTTGGTCAGAGTGATCTTAATGCAGCTGACACTCAGCCAGCTGCGTCTCATATGAATTTTCTCTACAATGCACAAGATAACCAGGGCATCAATCCTTCCAAGTTTCAGAAAGTTTCACACAACTACTGACTTATACGGATTTTTAAAAGTTTAGACAAAAACATCCCCCACAAAAGCCACAACAACAATCCCCTTGAATGTCTAACAGTGTGTCTATATCATACACAATTAACCATAGAACTTCAACTTAGTACAGATTTATATTATTACTCATTCACTTTAGTACTCTTTGCAGATTCAGTAATTTTATTTATTATTATTAGATTGACTCTAAATAGCTGGCTGCTGCAGCCCTCATTAGAGCTTTTTGATGCTGAGTACTGCATTCTGGGAAATGTAGTTTAGGGCAGGGCCTTTTGAATTCTCTGTCATAGAGGCGCTTGCCTTCCCAAACTACATTTCCCGCAATGCTGTGTTCTCAGTCTTCCGTCCAGCTCAGCTAATCCCGTCTCAGCTGCCCTTCCTTATAGCTACTGGCAAGCAGCCTGGGTCTTAATTTAAACACTAGCCATGGCCTCTTTGGCTTTACCAAAGTTGCTTAATGCTTATACTGAAAATGAAACAGGTTTTCGGAGACTTCCGAATATTACAGGATTTTAACAAAAATTATCAGTAAGTGTTTTGATTCTTAAATTTTTATCACCACTTTTCTGATTGTTTCTTAATAGCTATTTGTTGCACAAGTCTAACAAATTACTGATGACTTAGGAGGACTAACGGTAGTTTTTCACACCCCCAATAGACACATACATAGATACATATAAACAGAGAGACATACAAATGAAAATATACCCTTGTACCTGCAGATCTAGCATCCACAGTTTCACTTATCCATATCTGACAAAATACTTTATTTATAGTCATTTTACAGGTGCTCTAGGAAGCAGTTATGTGGTATGCTTCCTTTGGAAGTTGATCGTAGAGTTGCTCTGGACAATCTAACAACCTCTGCTCTTCCTAGGTCCTCCAGCACAGTCC